TTTTTTTTTTAGATTTTTTTATCAACCATTCTTAATAAAGGTAATAACCAAATAGAAACTATTAATTTCTAAAGTAACAATAGTTAACAACGATATTGATATTTGGACAATAAGCATATATACTTTTCTAAGTAACAGTGAGCAAATAATAAGAATGAATTATTTAGAATCTTTTATTTTAAAGCCTAAAACATTTTAAAAAGTATAACTAACCTCACACATGTAATATTCAATTTAATAAAATAGTAATAGATAATTTATAGTGTAACGTTAATCTTAAACATCTTTATAGCATAAATTATGATTTTTTAAAAGAAAAAAAAATTGAGAAGAAAGGTTAAAAATATGTTGGGTCTGATTGAATCTGGTTGGATCCTATTGAAAACTCCATGATCGTTAAAAAAACAATAAATCATGTATATATGTTGGTTATTTTGATATTAAACGCTATTAAAAGTTGTATTATGCCATTTTCACTAAAAAGATGGAAAAAAAAGAGTCGAAAATATGTCGGACACAATAATTTTAAAAATTGCATGAATCGTAAAAAGTGAATCGAATCGTGAATCGATTTTGAATCGTGCGATTCACTAAAGATTCACTTCCAAAATAGATTCACTCATAGATTCGTATCGATTTTGCAAAAATTGCGTATCGAATCGTGAATCGAATCGCATCGCAAATCGTAAGATTCTGATAACAGAGCTTCTAATCAACTGAGGAACCACAAGTTTCCAAAAGGCCCTTTCGATATAACAACTCATCAAATCTTGCGAACCCAATATGATTACCACACCAAAAACCACTTCCCTCTGCCAGCTGCACGATAGACTCAAAATCCAAACATTTTTCTTCTTTTCTTTTTTTCTTTTTCCTTTTCTCAATGTCAAATGTCAAACCCTTGAAGATATTTGTCATTTAAATCTGAGTGACAAGTAAAAATGTTGAATATGTTTTTTGGGAGCGCTTGCTTCATTCCAATTTCCACATAGCAAGCCACTATGCAACCACTGGATGTTCCCTTTGTACTTGGGGTTCCTTCACCTCAACTATTCAATCTCTAATTTTCAAAAAAAAAATTCAAATTAAACTGTGCAACACAACTGTCACATGAGCAACTCAACTGTGCAAAATCCCATGTCTGGTGTTGCTACAACACACTCAACACTGGTTGGATTCATGTTTACTTGACCAAAATTTCTCAACAAAATCTTACAACAGCCACATATGGCTGGTGTAATGAAGATGTGAGATTCTTTCACACATAAGTCCCTACTAATTTAATCTTTGATCCATTTAACCAGTTGGATATGTATTATGCTCATCAACCAGACACTTAGACAGACGATTTTAAGCAGGCCTAATTTGCTGCAGAGTCACAAACAACACTCAGTATTTTTGTTGGGGAGGCATATCCATGTGGTACCTCATGTCATGTGGCATTCAAGGGACCATTATGCACTAGTCTCTTCACCACACACTCCATTTAACAATCTTGTTCTGCACAAGCCTTAGAGATCAATCACTTGCTAAGATCACACTTCCAATTAAAAAAAATCAAACTAGAAATCATGGGTATCCGATTGCCAGGGATTCCTCAAGCGAAACTAGTTTTCAGAGGAGCTCTTTCTGCTCCAATGGCACAGGATGTACCCAAAGGCCACCTTGCTGTTTATGTTGGAGAAACTGAGAAGAAGCGATATGTTGTTCCAATTTCATATTTGAAGCATCCTTCATTCCAGAGCTTGCTGAGATGGGCTGAAGAAGAATTTGGGTATGATCATCCAATGGGTGGTTTTACAATCCCATGTAAAGAAGAGACCTTCATTGATATCACTTGCAGTTTGAATTGCTCATGAGCAAGAAACAAATAAAGACTCTTAACATCATTGACTCAGACTTTCTTTTTTTTTGGATTCACACCATCATGAATTAGAATAGTAGGAATGTTTCTTGTGAAATCAATGTGAATATGCTTTCAGTTGAGAAGTGAATTGGGAGTTGAATCTTCATGGTAATTAAATAGTTTCACTATTCTTTTTTAGTTTAATCTTCAGTTCCGGAAATTTATCTATTTGATATGAATGGTCTGATTGCATTGAAGCACTCTTTGTTACTAAAGCCAAATCTTTGATATGTTGAAGAAGTGATGCAGCTAGGTTTTGGCCAATGTTGTTATATTTTCTTCGAAAAGCCCACGTTTAATCTGAAACAGCCAAATGAGTAAACTCTTCGAATTTGTGTTTTTGCCATTTGTGTTTTCATTATTTTTTTCATTGCCAGATAACATAATGACATTTATCAGTACAATATGTAGCAGTAGTTTACTGATCCCATTGAACTAATTAACAAAATTGGAGAAAAAGATAGCATAATTAGTTTTATCTTTGGAGTACTCATGGTGTTTCAACATGTACTGATTTCACCATAAAGATTTAATAAAGCATATATCAAGTCTTATTTAGCTAAGATCAAAGAGAAAATTAAAATAAATTTCAAAGGGCCCCCTTCAGGCTGTGAGCAGAATGTGTAGGACACAATGCTCTCTATTCTACCAATTACTTTTTGTTATTTATTAGTCTGTGTCACTCTAAAGTCTTGACGATGAGTAGAATGACAAAACCATGTGATACTTCATGTGCTAATGTCACCAAACTATGCCCCATATATTTAAGATCACTCATGAATTCATTGCTCCTACTTACATATTATAGATCGGTCATGCAAATTTTTAATGGAATCATTACAAAAACTTTTGCTTTGAACAATCAAAATCATTCACAGGTCACCAACCCAAAGGAGAGTAGCTTCTTTGTTGATTAAAGCTCTAGTGAATAACAGTCTTAACAAACATGATATCCCAAAATGACAATTTTAACCTCTTCACTCCAACCCTAATCTTCGGTAAAATGAAAAAGTACAATTCACTGATATTACCTACTGGAGAGGCTACCCTGATGACAGCGTCAAAATCCATAACAAGTTCTTTAGCTGCTGCAGACCTCTTCAATGAAATTAACCTTTTTCAGTCAAATCGGACCCCTTTGGTTGTTGCTCTAGACCTGCTCCATTAACCCATAAATGTTGTAAAAACAGCCTTACATTGGTGTTTATGGTACTCTGTATGTAGTGACTGGTTCTCTATTTTGACTTCCTTCCATTGGAATTGTTAATGTTAACCATGACATCCTCAGAAATACATAGTTTTTACATAATTCACCAACAGATAATCACAGCCTATTTATACTCTATTGCTGATAATGGCTCCAAAAATTCCATAATTTAGCATATGCATTTTGCAATTCAATATCAATCCGTCATCCATGGCCTAGCTTTTGTACCCTAGCATATTGCGATAAGAGTGTCCAAAAGAATTTCATCAAATCTCTATGAGACATAATTGGTTAGGCAATGACTATTGATTCAGTTTTTTTTCTTGCTAAAACAACCATGACCAACATGATAAGTCCAAATAAGTGGAATGCATTTGTTTACCAATATTAACACTACAGAAGCTATACAAACAAATGGAAATTTCAATGCAATGAAGATTTTCCCTCTTAATGTGAGAATTATATTAATTTTCTTATGACATTTATCTCTACCATGAATCGTTTGTGTGAACAATAAAAGGAAAAGAGAGAAATTTTGTACATAGAAATGGTAATTACTTCTTTACAAATGTGTTCTGCTGACATATCCTAGCATTTCTTCTATAATGAATCATGATCGACCCAATCGAGAAGTGAGGTCAATGAAGATGTCTTCTTTGCAGGGAATGGTGAGACCACCCATTGGATGATCAAATCCAAATTTTTCCTCGACTTGACTTAACAAGTCTTGGAATGAAGGTTGGTTCAAGTACGATAGCGGAATCGCAAATCACCTCTTTTCACTCTCTCCAACATAAACTACTAGATAGCCCTTTGGGACATCTATTGCGGCTGATGAAGCTTCTTGGTTTGATTTCGATGATGAAGACTGTCGGAGGATTTGTTTAGCATGAATAATGCGAGGCATACGAATAGCCATTTTTCTGAATGAAAAAGGAAAAGAATAGACAGGACCTAGTAGAGAAGTGGAAGCTGTGGCAATGATGAATGTCAAGACTCAAAGACTTGTTGTGTTGGCTATGGTGTAGACTCTCTGCTCATATATGTGTGTGTATATAGATCAAAGATGATGTAAGTTATCCTCTGAAATGTAGAATGAGTGATGAAGGGGGCATTAGAATATTGGGATCTATAGAGACATTAGCAACTGAAGGAACACATGGTTTTGTGTTCCAATTCATTATCAAGAATTTAGAGCCATAGAATGGAACAAACTGTTTGTTAGTTGAAAAACATCAATGCCCTACCACTTCCAAGAAATGCTTCAGAGACACTAAGTGTCACGACCCAAACCCGCCCCTAAAAGTTTGGTTCATGACCGGCCCGTACATAGGCCTCAAACAAAATTAAGAATAATATTTAAACACATACGGGGCCTTAAGCGAAAGCAATATCAATAAAAGACAACATCCATTGAGCTTGTGCATACATTATGGTTTAATTGGATTTAAGCATTTAAATACATTCCCAGAGTTATATATATAATCACAGAATTCATATAGATCTCACACACTCTTACATAAGACTTAATAATTTATATGACTCCCAACACAAATTAAGGCCTCAACATGGAGGCGTACCCCAGGCGGCTTGGCAGACAGGTAGACCTTAATACAATTCTAGTGTCAATCTCCGATGGCTCACCTACATAAATATACATAAAAAAAAAAGGAGTGAGCAAGGCTCAGTGAATAATAGCCATGTAAGGAGGTGAGTTAGACAGGTATAGGCTTAAAGAATGTAAACATGCATATCAAACCATACACAGATCTTATTCATAATCATATTTTAAAACGGCCTCAGATCCACATGTAACACAGAACGGCCTCAGGCCCATATATAATACAGAGCAGCTGTAAGCCCAGATATAAGACAGAATGGTTGTAAGCCCAGATATAATACAGATCGGCTGTAAGCCCAGATATAATACAGAACAGCTGTAAGCCTAGATATAATACAGAACAACTTTAAGCCCAGATATCAACAGATTGGACTCTGACCCGAATATCAACAGATTGGCCTTAAGCCCACAGATATCAATAGATTGGCCTCTGGCCCAGATATTAACAGATTGGCCTCTGGCCCACAGATATTACAGAACGGCCTCTGGCCCAGTACTTGCAAAATAGAATAATCCTCAGAATCATAAGAATACCATTATACAACAGTGCACGTACATTTCCCCATGGTTTATTACAAGTCGACATAGTTGTCTTGCGTATAACAGAACATTAACAATAACTATTAACAAAAGACACATGTATCACTACAATACAATTAATAGGGACAGAACATCATAACGGCCTTGGGCGTACGTCTGTTACTAGGGACAGAACGACCTTAGGTCCATATCAATGCCATTATTCAAGCATATCCATTGATTAAATCAAAGCACAATATCAATGGAATAGACCATTCACAAATAATAATACATAAATCATAATCACAGGAAGTAAGTGAAACATATCGTTACACTACTATTACTCACAGTGATCGGCTCCTGGTAGTTATGGGACGGTGTCCTCGTCTCGACCTACAAGCACACTGCACAACACATAATATGAGATTATAATTGATCCTTTACTTATTCTCTTTGACCATTCTATCAATTAGCCATGGTGGTACCAAGCTCATTATTCCTTAATAAGTTATAATCCATGTCTCAGAAAATAGGAGGAATCGATGGGAAATGGTTTAAGTGAAGAAATGGTACAAAACTGGTTGACAGAAAGTGAACAGCCGTCACTAATCTGGGCATAACTATTTCTGTATTTAGAATTTGGGAGTGAGACCACCACCATTGGAAACTATACTTCCGGGGGCTTGATTTTATGCTCAAGAATCACTCAAAACGGAGTCTGGAGGTAAAAGATATGCTTATTCAAAGTTGGCTGAACAAAGCTGTCTCCCACACGTGCGGGAAACAGAGCCGCACGTGCGGCTATGGGCAGTTTGCAGTCCGAAAATGGCTGTATAATTTGGAACCTCTCATTTTCAAAATCAAACCTCAATTTCAGGCAAATCAAAGCCCAAAACCTTTTAATACATGATAAATTTCACATTATTAATCTCCATCAAACATCATAACCTCAAAACACTACTCAATTCCTAAGCACAAGAACACAAGGGCATAAAATTGCCATAGTTGGGGTTCAAAGTTCACATCTTTCATATCAATCCTTCATTTCATGTAATTGAAGCTTTAAACATAAGGATTCAAGATAGATGGTCATACCTTAGTTCAATCTTTGTCTTTCTCTTAGCTTTCTTCAATTTCCCCCAAGTTTTCCATGGGTGATCTTCTTTCTCTTTCTTCAATGCCCTTCAAGCATCTTTAAAACCACCATGAATATTGAGGAGCTTGTCTCTCTTCTCTCTCTCTCCTTTTCACGGTTTCCCCTCTCTCTCCTTTAGATATTTTTAGGTTCCAAGGGATGAGTTCAACTCATGCCTCTCATATACATATATACATTAAATATACACACATATAAGTCTAACACAATATGGAGAGACAAACGCGGCCTTACAAATCGCGCAAAATCAAATTTCAATTAAACTTTCCAGATGACTAAAAATTATGCTGATCATAAATATGTCCTCTGTTCCGATTTCTGAAGCCTCGAAGGCCTTCAATTTGCAATACAAAGTTAACCACCCAAACATGCATTACCGAATCAAACAAATTAGATTTCCAATTAATTTTCCCAAATAGTTCTAAAAATTTCCATTAACACACCCAAATACTCAATTGTGATTTCTGAACCCGTAAAGGTCGGTAATTTCAATTTTAAAGCCGTGGCTCAACAGATAATTCCTCAATTTGAACAGATATCATTGAATTAAAATGAATTAACTCATAAGGCCATAAAAGTAATTTCGGATACGGATTTTGGGGTCGTTACACTAAGCTCTCTCTTTTCTCTAGGATGATATAAAATAAAGGTAATATATACTCAGTAAATGTTAAAATTATAAATGCTTTTCTTTTTTTTTTTTCACAAAAGAAATAGTATGCAATCTTTCTTCTTTTTTTAACACAAAATAAATATTCAATGAGTTAAATAAGGTATGTTTCACATTATGGAGCTCCAAAACCAGTGAAAGATTGATCTATAGTTAAAAATGTCTGAGACTAGAGGATGCATTAACTTGCGTGACACCCCTCATGAAGTCCATGTGAATGATTATCTTTACTATTTGGAGTAATGCAGTGGATGCTAACAAATGATGGTCAAATCACAGGCAATGATTTGAAAGCAATATAATTAACCATTTCAGGAGACTTTGATATTTGCTGCATCAGGTCCTCCCAATTATCCCATGGAATTAATCATCACTTCTGCTGCTACATTTATATTAAATATATATATATATATGGCTGCTGCTTTATTTCTGGGGTGATATTATTCAAGGAAAATCAATATTCCATAACAAAACAATGACGGTGCAAATTATATGTCTATGCAGCCTACTGATTACAAAATTTTTAAAAAATAAAAAAATACAGTACTTTTAACAGACCATTAGCATCAAAGACTGATTCCTCATGATTTATGTTTCCTTCAGTCAGAGGGCCACTTTGTTGTTTATGTGATTCACAGTCCCAACATCATACTAGAGCCACTGTTCTTTGAAGACTCGCTATGTGAAACTCAGACAGATTGTCATCCAATGGATGCCCTCATTAGACAGTGCAACAAAAGGCTTTATTCATCTTTGGTTGCCCATTCCTGGTAAATATTTAGCAGAGGAAGAGGTTTTGTAATTTTATTTCCTTACTATTACTCTTTTGTATTTACCTGTTATGTTTCAACCCATAGAGTTAAATTGGTATGTCAAATTGCCATTACTAATTGGCAACAGCATTTTGATTCTTCTAGTGCAACATCAGAGAATTTCTTTCTGAAGAAAAATAAAGAAAGTGAAAAAGTAAAAAGCAGAGAGAAATAAGAAGAGTAAGCTCTTTGTTGTGAATGAATAGAATTGACTTCTGTTTTTTTCTACTGATACAAAATTGGAGAAGTTAGTTTTTCAGGTCAATGGAGTTGAAACTATATTAGCAGTTTTTTCCCTTCAAATCTTATGAGCCATTCAAACCCCACATGAGGTCAATGAAGGCTATTCTCCGCATGGGATTGTGGGGCCACCCATTGGATGATCATAGCCAAACTCTTCTTCAGCCTGACTTGGTAAATTTTGGAATGAAGGATGATCCAAGTATGATATTGGAACCACAAATTATTTCCTTTTAGTCTCTCCAACATAAACAGAAAAGTGGCCCTTGGACACCCTAGAAGGCTCTGAAGTTCCCCGTGCTCGGAACAGAATCTGCTTAACAGGAACAATCCTAGGCAACCAGATACCCATGAGTGCTCGTAACTGTGATATTTGAAGAAGTAATGGCAAGAAATGGATCTCTATGGTTTTTCAAATTACAAGAAGTGTGTTGACACCGGAATGATATGCTGGGGCTGGTATTTATACAGCAAACGCAATATGAACAACCACCATAAATGGAACAAGTGGTGAAGAGAAATCTGCAAAAAGGTCTTCATTATGCAAACCATATGTGGTTGTTTACAGATTTGGCTGAGAAATCATGGTAAAGTAAACACCAATGCAACTGGTGTTGACTGTGTTATGGCAACACCAGACACAGGATTGCACAGTTGAGCTGCTCATGTGACAATGTTCCTTGACATATGTGAGTGAGAACTGGTGATGATGTTAGAGCTTGGCCTGAATTGGGGAAGGAGGGTAGATTGAGTAGAAGCACTAACACAAAGCCTGATATATGATGTTGTCTAATGCTATCCTCTTAATCGTAATTGATCAGGACATCAAAACCAGTAAGGCTTAAATTGGAAAAAGGTTGATTCAAATATTTCAAATGATTGGCAGTATCCTATGAACCAAGGAAATAGGTACGGGTACGGGGTACCTTAACAGAAAAAACTATTAGAAGATAGGATATGGGTCAAAACTTTTTTTTTTTTAAAGAGGAAAGATGAAAAGAAGTGAACCCCAAGTCTGAGTACAAAGGGATCATCCAGTGGCTGCATAGTGTCTTGGTAGGTCGAAATTGGAATGCAGCAAGTGCTCCCAAAAGACCTATATATTTAACATTTTTATTTATCGATCAGAGTTTGTAGAAATTTGAGATCTAAATCAGTGGTTGAGATGAGACTAACAAAAATTCCCATCATGTATAGTAATATCTTAAAGTTAGTATAATATCAAGCATGCTGTTAGACTAGCAAGCACTGGAAGTTGGAACATATGAGTTATCGGCCGGCTCATATGACAATGTTGCTTAAGAAATACAAGGAATTGGTTATAATTTGAGCTTGGGGCCCAAATGCAGTGACTGCTAGATCGAACAGAAGCAGTACTAATAGTCCCTGTAAGCGATGGCTCTAATAAAGTTTCTTGCATTACGATCTGTATATACCCCCAAAATCAAACATTTTGACCACAATTGATATTGCATAAATTTCACATCTTGAAATGAAGACGTGAGTGAAATTTCACATCCTCAATGCATATTTCAGAACCATGAGCTCATATAGACTAAAACAACATAAGATTCACTTTGTAACCATTTCAGAGGAAAGAGTACCATGCAATTACAAAATTGAACTGCCGGGGACCATAATTTTAGATTCAGGAAAATAGTCACTCCAAATATGGCGGTAAGGCTGCATACTTGTTGCCTCCCTAGACCCCGCTTTAGTCGGAGCCTCGTGCACTAGGTCACCTATTCTTTAGCTCCCAATACGTAATGTATTGAGATATTTGACCATTGAGTTTGCCAAATTGATGTTTTGTTGGTCCAGTTTTTTATCAGTTTCCTCTATGGATTTGTCTCCCTACAGCACAAGCACAAGCACAAGCAATTCATAGGAATGCCTATTTCTAGCCAAATGTTCCAGCACTGAGGCCAACAAAAATGCAGAGTTTTTCTATAATTTAAGGTTGACTTTTTCATAAATTTCATTCACTGAAATCCTCAGAAAAGACAGTTTTTCCCATCACGAATTTGTAGACATCGGAGTGGCAAGAACCTCCTCACATAGTTCACCATTAGATAGCAAATTGTATGTACTCTGTGTTGCTAATAGATTTCAACTGAGAACATCGACAAGAAAATATCAATGCAATGATGCTTTTGCCTTTAAATGTGAGAGAATTCCATTAATGTCTAATTATAATAATCTGATGACATTTTCTCTCTCTCCTTGGCGGCTGAAAGGAAAAGAAAAAAAAAATGGTACATAGAAACGGTAATTACTGCCTTACAAAATTGTGTATGCTAACATATTCTAGCAGTGTTTCTATCATGAATCATGATCCACCCAATCGAGAAGTCAGATCAATGAAGATGTCTTCTCTGCAGGGAATGGTGAGACCACCCATTGGATGATCAAATCCAAATTCTTCCTCAGCTTGGCTTAACAAGTCTTGGAATGAAGGCTGGTTCAAGTATGATATGGGAATTACAAATCGCTTCTTTTCGCTCTCTCCAACATAAACTGCAAAATGGCCCTTGGGAACATCTACTTCTGCTGAAGCTGTTTGGTTTGCTTTCAATGATGACGACCGTCGAAGGATACGAGGCATACGAATAGCCATTGTTTTGAATTGGGAAGATCTTTATTCCTCAACAACACGAAAGAGGAATGAAGGACGTTCACAACAAGTGAAAGCTTTGCAAGTGAAGAATGTGAAGGTTGTGCTGGCTTTAGACTTGCTGATGTGCTTATATATAGATCAAAGTTATGTGGGTCTACTGGTGGCTCTAGCACATGAAAGATCACATGGTTTTGCCTTCCTACTAATCAATATCATGAATTTTGAATAGATTATATGTTAGAGAGAAAATTCTATATGGTTAGCATTCTCAAATAAAGTGTGTGGTGAAGAGACTATTGCATTATGGTCCCTTGAAGGTCAAATGACAAGAGGTACCACATGGATATGCCTTACAACAAAAAATACTATGTGATGTTTGTGGATCTGCAGCAAATTAGGCCAAATGGATGAAAAACTAATAGTAGGGACTTATGTGTGAAATACATCTAACATCTTCATTACGCAACCCATATGTGGCTGTCTTACATATTTGGTTGAGAAATTGTGGTCAAGTAAACACCAATGCAACTGGTGTTGACTGTGTTATGGCAACACCAGACATGGGATTGCACAGTTGAGCTGCTCATGTGACAATGTTCCTTGATTTATGAGAGTGGGATCTGGTGATGACGTGAGAGCTTGGCCTGAATTGGGGAAGGAGGGTTGGTTGAGTAGAAGCACTAATGCAAAGCTTAATTGAGCAAGACACCAAAAAAGTAAGGCTTATATTGGATAAAGATCAATTCAACTATTTCAAATGATTGGGAGTAACCTATGTAGCAAGGATACAGGTAATGGTATGGGTACCTTAACACTGTGTTTGGTTGGGGGATTGGAGGAGGGATTTGGAAATAAAAAGGGAAAGGGAAAAGTTAGGTGAATTGTGAACAAAATATATTTACATTTCACTTTGTTTCACACACCTTTTCCCTTTCCCTTTCCAAATCCCTCCCCAAATCCCCCAACCAAACACAACATAATGGAAAAAAAACTTTTAAAACATAGGATAGCTGCGAGGTATGCTACTGTTTGTCACTTGGCTCTGATACCATGATAACAGATGACAAAACTTGTGTATGTTAATTAATCAAAAGAAGAATTACAAAATATATAAACGAAACCCTAATAATCCCTAATAATCTAAAGTACTAAACTATCCTTAATGAATAATATAAACTACATAATTCACAGTTAGACCAACAAGCACTGGAAAATATGAGTTATTGGCTGGCTCATATATGACAATGTTGCTTAAAAAAAGAAAGAAATGGTGCTAATTTGAGCTTGGGGCCCAAATGCAGTGATTGCTCAATTGAACAGAAGCAGTATAGAATCAACCTAACGTGTGAAATTGTTCTATGCTTCTAACTCTATAACTAAAATTGGCACGGATCAATAGTCCCTGTAATTCATAGTTCTAATAAAGTTTCTTGCATTATGATCTGTATATACCCTGAAAATCAAACATTTTGACAATAATTGCTATTGCATAAATTTCACAGCTTGAATGCAGGCTTGAGTGAAATTTGACATCCTCAATGCATATATAATGAGAACCATCAGCTCATATAGACTAAAACAACATAAGATTCACCTCACATTTCAGAGGAAAGATTAATATGCAATTACAAATTGATGTTTTGTTGGTCCAGTGTTTTATCAGTTTCTCTATGGATTTGTCTCCCTACAGCACAAGCAATTATTTGGAATGCCTGTTTCTAGCCAAATGAACCAGTGCTGAGGTCAACAAAAATGCAGAATTTTTCTATAATTTAAGGTTGATTTTTTAATATATTTAAATCACTGAAATCCTCTGAAAAGGCAGTTTTTTGCACATCAGGAATTTCTAGACATCAGGGTGGCAAGCACCTCCTCACATAATTCACCATTAGACAGAAAATTATATGTACTCTGTGTTGCTAATAGAATTCAACTGAGAAAATGGACATGAAAATATTGATGCAATGATGCTTTTGCCTTTAAATGTGAGAGAATTCCATTAATGTCTAATTATAAATTATAATAGTCTGACGACATTTCCTATCTCTCCTTGGCGGCTGAAAGGAAAAGAAAGAAAATTTGTACATAGAAACGGTAATTACTTTACAAAATTGTGTTTGCTAACATATCCTAGCATTGTTTCTATCATGATTCATGATCCACCCAATTGAGAAGTGAGATTAATGAAGATGTCTTCTCTGCACGGAATGGTGAGACCACCCATTGGATGCTCAAACCCAAATTCTTCCTCAGCTTGGCTTAACAAATCTTGGAATGAAGGTTGGTTCAAGTATGATATCGGAATCACAAATCGCTTCCTTTCGCTCTCTCCAACATAAACTGCTAAATAGCCTTTTGGGACATCAAACGGTGCTGATGAAGCTGCTTGATTTGCTTTCAATGATGAAGACCTTTGGAGGATTTGTTTAACATGAATAATGCGAGGAATATGAATAGCCATTTTTCTCAATGAACAAGAAGAACAGTAGAGAAGAGTTTGCAGAAGTGGAAGCTTTGGCAATGAAGAATGTCAATACTCAAGACTTGTGTTGGCTGTGGTGTAGACTAACTTCTCGTATGTGAATATACATAGATCAAAGGTAATGTGGATTATCCTCTGAAATGTAGAATGAGTGGTGAAGGGATTGGGGTCTACAGAGAGACATTAGCAGCTCAAGGAACACATGGTTTTGTCTTCAAATTCATCATCAAGAATTTAGAGCCATAAAATGGACCAAACTGTTTGTTAGTTGAAAAACATCAATGCCCTACCACTTCGAAGATATCCTTCAGACAACTAAGCTCTCTCTTTTCTTCTAGGATGATATAAAATATATACTCAGTAAATATTAAAATTAGTACTTGTTAAAATTATAAATTCAAAAGGTTTATCTACAGTTAAATGTCTTTTGTGACCAGAGGATGCATTAATTTGCCCGGCACACCTCACAAATCCCATGTGGATGATTCTCTTCAAGTGGTCCTCTTTGCTATTTGGAGAAATGTAGTGGATGCTAACAAATAATGGGCAAATCACTGGCAATGATTTGAAAGCAGTATAATTAACATTTCATGGGACTTTGTTTGATTCTTGTTTGAGGTCCTCCCAATTATACCCATGAATGATCAACACTTTTCTGCTACATTAACTTTGAATATGATTTTTTAAATTTTTTTATTTTTGCTTTATTTCTGGGGTGATTAGTCAAGGCTAAATACCAATCAAGGTCCACTTGAAATAACTATTTCCCTTTAGTAGTAAATTCTCAATCTCATCTTATTCTTCTATTTTTTGATCGATTGCTCAGCGAAACAATATTAGTTTTCTACCTGCTGGTTCAGTCATATATAGATCTTTACAACAAAGCATGAAACTAATAATTCCAAAGGGATCTTGCTTGATTTTGTTTGTATTGGCACTGATTTAGACAAAGCTTCTCCCAAATGGGGGGGAAAAATTAGACAAAACTCTTTATTTCTTCGTAAATTATTCATGCTATTATAAATAATATTCAAGGGGGCTGATTATTTTTATCTTTTATTTTTTCAAACTGAGGCCTTGTGCAGTCTCCATATTGGTTTGAACAAGCTCATTAATCAATAACCTAAAACAGTAAGTGAGCTAAGAAGCTTGCATCTGAAAAATTTGCTTTTGAATGGTTTGAAAATTTGCATGCTCCCCCTTAACTACTTCTTCAACTGCACTATCATGTCGACCTCTTCTGCCATGACCACAACGCTCAACTTGAGCTTGTCCAGCTCTTCCCTCAAATGCTTCTTCAGCTGCACTATCATGTTGACCTCTTCTGCCACGACCACCACGCTCAACTTGAGCTTGTCCAGCTCTTCCCTCAAATGCTTCTTCAGCTGCACTATCATGTTGACCTCTTCTGCCACGACCACCACGCTCAACTTGAGCTTGTCCAGCTCTTCCCTCAAATGCTTCTTCAGCTGCACTATCATGTTGACCTCTTCTGCCACGACCACCACGCTCAACTTGAGCTTGTCCAGCTCTTCCCTCAAATGCTTCTTCAGCTGCACTATCATGTTGACCTCTTCTGCCACGACCACCACGCTCAACTTGAGCTTGTCCAGCTCTTCCCTCAAATGCTTCTTCAGCTGCACTATCATGTTGACCTCTTCTGCCACGACCACCACGCTCAACTTGAGCTTGTCCAGCTCTTCCCTCAAATGCTTCTTCAGCTGCACTATCATGTTGACCTCTTCTGCCACGACCACCACGCTCAACTTGAGCTTGTCCAGCTCTTCCCTCAAATGCTTCTTCAGCTGCACTATCATGTTGACCTCTTCTGCCACGACCACCACGCTCAACTTGAGCTTGTCCAGCTCTTCCCTCAAATGCTTCTTCAGCTGCACTATCATGTTGACCTCTTCTGCCACGACCACCACGCTCAACTTGAGCTTGTCCAGCTCTTCCCTCAAATGCTTCTTCAGCTGCACTATCATGTTGACCTCTTCTGCCACGACCACCACGCTCAACTTGAGCTTGTCCAGCTCTTCCCTCAAATGCTTCTTCAGCTGCACTATCATGTTGACCTCTTCTGCCACGACCACCACGCTCAACTTGAGCTTGTCCAGCTCTTCCCTCAACTGCTTCTTTAGCTGCACTATTATGTTGACCTCTTCTGCCACGACCACCACGCTCAACTTGAGCTTGTCCAGCTCTTCCCTCAACTTAAGCTTATCCAGCTCTCCCCTTAACTTGAGCATTGCTCAGATTGACAGTAAGTTTGGAGATGGGATTATTAAGCTCAACCATATCATCAATAGTATTAAAGGAAACCTCTTGAGATAGAAATTTAGTGAGAAGTGATGGATATGGTGTAAACCAAGCGATTTCTTGCCACTAAACAAGGCTATCATGTGACGGAAGACAAGCAAGGGAACATCTATTGACAAGTTTTGGCTAATGGCATAGAGGAAGTACCCTTGATCATATGACACATCAGAAAAATGCAATGTAAGAGTGACATTATGTGAGACAATGAGATTCAAGATCCTATAAGGTGCAATGAGAGAACGGTGAGAAAGTGAAACACTGGGAATCCAATTATAAGGAGCACCTAATAGGGTAGAGGCAATGAGATTGAAATCAATTGGGATAGAAGCATAACACCTATCTTGGGGATAGTCACACACAAGAGGCCGTTCGAGACCAAGAATATTAGCAACAATATCCGCATTAAACTCAAAACTTTTACCCCTCACATACACCTGAAAAGATGATGAATTACAGAATGAATGTTGCAATAAAATACTCGAACCAAGACCTATTCACTATGTCATCAAAATTCAACACAGCGTTACCACCCAAACAATCAAACCAATTCCTAATAGGAAGCTCGTCAAATGTGTTGGGTTCAAGCCCATCAAAAAAGAAAAAAATGTGTTGGGTGCAACATTTCGTTCTAGTAACACAGTGCGATCAGTGAACTCAGCATTAAACAGATTTTGATGGTCTATAGAGCGAAAGGAATGTGAAGCAAAAGAGCCTTTTTTAGCCGATTGCTTGGTTTTATTTCTAGAAGAAGATGAAGCAATGAAACAAAATGTTCAAAACTACTGAGATGAACGAGACAAAAAATACCAAACAACCAAGAAAGAAACTAAGCAATTTACCACCTACAAATGATATGGAAGAGACACAAATTACTTGGACCACAAACACTCAACACAAATCAAAGAGAGAGGCAAAGGATGCAAAACCTAGGGTTTAAAACAAAAATCAAATCTGAAATAGTCGACGAAATAGGATAAAAAAAACTAGAAGAAATAATCCCCAACATTCTTATAGACTTCACATTAAAACCAAAAAACTAAACCATGCTTTGAGTACGGAATTATAATTTAAGTGTGATATTGTGAGTTGAGTTTTAAAAATTTACTTAGTTATGAGTTTTGAAAAAAAAAATTCAGTTTTCAATTGTGAGTTGTATTTTTAAATTTTTTGAATTTATTTTTTAAAATATTTAAAAATGTGTAAGAATTTTTTTTTTATTTTCAATATATAAATTATATTTTAAATTTTTTTATTTTTTTAATTTTATTTTTCAAATATTTTTTTAAATATTTTAATTTTTTTAATATTTTAATTTTTTTAATATTTTAAACTCAAAACACAACTCCATACTCAAATCATAACAAAACACATCACTCAAAATTCAATTCAAAAACTATTTTCAAAATTCATAATCAAATATATAATTCAAAACTCAATTTAAAAACTCTTTTCAAAACTTATAACCAAACTTTTTTTCAAAATTCTATTAAAAAAATTCAAAAAAAAATTATTTTTTATTATGTTCTTTCATTGATGACGACCGTCGAAGGATACAAGGCATACGAATAGCCATTTTTTTAATTGGGAAGATATGTACTCCTCAACAAGAAGAAAGAGGAACGAAGGGCTTGCACAACAAGTGAAAGCTTTGCAAGAGAAGAACGTGAAGGTTGTGTTGGCTTTAGACTTGTTGATGTGCTTATGTATATATCAAAGTTATGTGGGTCTACTGATGGACACTAGCACATGAAGGATCACATGGTTTTGCCTTCCTACTAATCAATATCATGAATTTTGGATAGAACATATGTTAGAAAATTCTGTTTGGTTAGCATTCTCAAATGAAGTGTGTGGTGAAGAGACCATTGCATTGTGGTCCCTTGAAGGACATATGAAATGAGGTACCACATGGGTATGCCTTGCAACAAAAAATACTACATGATGTTTGTGGATCTGCAGCAAATTAGGCCAAATGGATCAAAGACTACATAGTAGGGACTTAACATCTTCGTTACGCAAGCCATATGTGGCTGTCTTACAGATTTGGTTGAGAAATTGTGATCAAGTAAAGACCAATGCAACTGAGGTTGACTGTGTTATGGCAACGCCAGACAAGGGATTGCTCAGTTGAGCTGCTCATGTGACAATGTTCCTTGACATATGCGAGTGTGAACCCGTGATGATGTGAGCTTGACCTGAATTGGGGAAGGAGGGTAGGTTGAGTAGAAGCACTAACACAAAGCTTCATATATGTTGTCTATGATGCTATCCTCTTAATCGTAATTGATCAAGATACCAAAACTTGTAAGGTGTAAATTGGGTAACGTTCGGTTCAAGTAATTAAAATGATTGGCAGTATCTTATGAAGAAACGATACAAGCAAGGGTACAGGTACGGGTACCTTATCAGAAAAAAACTTACAAAACGAATCCAAACTTCTTTTCTTTTCTTTTCTTTTCTTTTTTTTAAAAAAAAAATTAGAGGAAAGATGAAAAGAAGTGAACCCCAAGTCCGAGTACAAATCCAAAAGACATATTTTATAGTTTTTTTTTTATCAAAGTTTGTAGAAATTTGAGATCTAAATCAAAAATCAAGATGAGACTAACAAAAGTTCCCCTCTTGTAAAGTATTATCTTAAAGTTATTGTCACATGAGTTATCAGCTCATATGACAATATTGCTTAAGAAATACAAGGAATTGGTGATAATTTGAGCTTGGGGCCCAAATGTAGATTGAACATAAGCAGTACAAAATGAACCGAATGCATGAAATTGTTCTATGTTTCTAACTCTAACAAAATTTGGCATGGACCAATAGTCCCTGCAAGCCACTTGCATTATCATCGGTATATATCCCGAAAATCAAACATTTTGATAATAATTGATTTTGCATAAATGAATGCTTGAGTGATATTTCACATCCTCAATGCATATATGAGAACTGTGAGCTCATATAAGCTAAAACAACATAAGATTCACCTTGTAAACATTTCAGAGGAAAGAGTAAATATGCAATTACAAAGTTGAACTGCCGGGATCATAATTTTCAATTCAGGAAAATAGTCTCTCCAAAAATGGCAGTAAGGCTGCATACTTCTTGCCTCCCTAGACCCTACTTTAGTGGATTGGTGATAATTTGAGCTTGGGGCCCAAATGTAGATTGAACATAAGCAGTACAAAATGAACCGAATGCATGAAATTGTTCTATGTTTCTAACTCTAACAAAATTTGGCATGGACCAATAGTCCCTGCAAGCCACTTGCATTATCATCGGTATATATCCCGAAAATCAAACATTTTGATAATAATTGATTTTGCATAAATGAATGCTTGAGTGATATTTCACATCCTCAATGCATATATGAGAACCGTGAGCTCATATAAGCTAAAACAACATAAGATTCACCTTGTAAACATTTCAGAGGAAAGAGTAAATATGCAATTACAAAGTTGAACTGTCGGGACCATAATTTTCAATTCAGGAAAATAGTCTCTCCAAAAATGGTAGTAAGGCTGCATACTTCTTGCCTCCCCAGACTCTACTTTAGTGGGAGCCTTGTGCACAGGGTGATGCAGGACAAGATTCTAGAGTTTTCAATATTTTTATTTTAATATTTTTTTAATATTGTATTTAACGAGTATTCTTGTAATTTAGCTAGAATTAGTAGGTTTCTTAATTTGTCTTTATTTTGTTTTCCTAATTTTAGGTTACTTATTCTCCAATATTAGACTAGTTAAGTTGTTTCTGAATTTTAGATTATTTGGTCTCCAAGAAAACTAGGGTTGTAAGGTTCGGATTATTATAAATAGGTATGTAAACCTCATGGAAAAGACTACTTTTATTCAATAAGATTCATAATTTTCTCTTCCTTGTAGATTCAAAGTTCTATTTTTCTCGTGGATTCGAGAGCCTCTTTCGTCTACTAGAACGATATCTAGTCCCCGTGTATTCCGCTGCATCATAGGGTCACCTATTTTTTAGCTCCCAAGAAGTAATGTATTGAGATACCTGAGTTCACATTCTACTAGGACAACATCATAACATGCATGACCATTGAGTTTGCCAAATTGATGTTTTGTTGGTCCAGTTCTTTTACAATTTAAGGTTTACTTTTTCATATAATTCAATCACTGAAATCCTTAGAAAAGACAGTTTTGCACATCAAGAATTTCTAGACATCAGAGTGGCAAGTACCTCCTCACATAGTTCACCATTAGATAGCAAATTGTATGTACTCTGTGTGGTTAATAGAATTCAATTGAGAGAATGGACATGAAAATATCAATTCAATGATACTTTTGCCTTTAAAAGTGAGAGAATTCCATTAATGTCTAATTATAATTTTCTGATGACATTCTCTCTCTCCTCGGTGTCTGAAAGGAAAAGAAAGAAAATTTGTACATAGAAAAGGTAATTACTGCTTTACAAAATTGTGGTTAGTTAACATATCCTAGCATTTCTTCTATCATGATTCATGATCCACCCAATCGAGAAGTCAGATCAATGAATATGTCTTCTCTGCAGGGAATGGTGAGACCACCCATTGGATGTTCAAATCCAAATTCTTCCTCAGCTTGGCTTAACACGTCTTGGAATGACGGCTGGTTCAAGTATGATATCGGAATTACAAATCGCTTCTTTTCGCTCTCTCCAACATAAACTGCAAGATGGCCTTTTGGAACACCTATGGCTGTTGAGGCTTCTTGGTTTGCTTTCAATGATGAAGACCGTCGGTGGACTTGTTTAGCATGAATGATACGAGGCATACGAATAGCCATTGTTTTGAATTGGGTATATATTTCTCAACAACAAGAAAAAGGAATGAAGGACTTGCAGAACAAGTGAAAGTTTTGCTAGTGAAGAATGTGAAGCTTGTGTTGGCTTTAGACTCTCTGATATGCTTATATATAGACCAAAGCTATGTGGGAAATCTTATTGTAATCTGGAATGAGTGGTGAAGAAACACTAGAATGGGGTCTACTGAGAGACACTAGCACATGAAGGATCACATGGATTTGCCTTCCTAGACTCATCACGTCATGAATTGAGAGCAATAGACCACACTGTATGTATGTTAGTTGGACAACATCATTCCCTACTACTTTGGTAACACTGAAATTGAATAGGTAATTTGAGGCATCACATGGTTTTTCCTCCCCAGTAAAATTATACAATTTTGATTGTTTTCATGTTGTAGCTTTTTGTTGCAATTTTTATGTGGTCAATCATTTAAAGGAACAACTAAACAGGTCCACCTGACATATGAATTATTAGTTCAACCATCTGCTATCAACACTAGCTAGCAGAAGAACATATGAGCTATCAATTCATAAGAAAATGTCGCATAAAGAATAGAAGGAATTGGTAAAATTGTTTTATGCAGGTATCATCTAGACCCCAAATTGGTTCTGACAAATAAAGTTTCTAGTGTTACAATTTTGATATTATTTCTCAGACTATCATGATCATCACATTCAAGCCTTATTTTTGGCAACTTAGACAAGGAATTCAATGTTAAGAATGAATACTTAGGATTCAGAGGTCTTTCGGTTTGAAGATGATCTGTACAATATGAGTTGGGTCTGCATAACACAAGATATTTTACTTTCAAAGAAATAGGTGCTGCAGTAGTGAATTAGGGGAGTCATATAAATCTAAATAGATTGCATTCTCTAAGTGATGCCTTGAAGGGTACCTGATTTCATTGTTTTGCTTGGTCAGCATAAGAACATAACTGAATGAAAACTACACAAGACCTCCACGGACTTGTATCCCTACAGAACATGAGCAAAGTCTCTGAAATGTCCATTTCGACCATCCTAATTCTAAAGGAAGGCAGTCTCTATAAGGTCTTTTTTACAACATTTATTTTTGTGACATTTTTGTTTTAAAAGAGCAGGCTTACAGATAGAAAACAGATCCAATCAGACTGAAACCAGCGATAATTTCATTAAGTGTCATGCAGCAGCAGCTGAAGAACATGTTATGGATTTTGATGCTGTCATTATTGAAGCCTCTCTAGCTAGTAGCCTAGTAGGTAATATACAAACCAAGGTAATATCAGCAATGAAAGTAAATTGATATGTAAAAGAGTGATTCCACTTGCACCACAAAACTATCTGCTTACACCCTTAAAATATTAAATTGTCATTTTATTTTGAGCATTGCTATTAACCCCTACCTTTCTTCTTAGAACCCTCACCTTCTTCATTTTTTTTTTTTAATTCCCGCTTTGTCCTAATCTAAAGTTCCACTTTTACCCTCAGTCCTAATCTTCTACTCCTAATTTTCCAAACTCTAAGTCTAACCCTAATCACTTCCGGCAATACCACCATCTCTGACCACCACTCATCGCTGCAACCACCACCATCTCTAACCACCCCTCACTATCGCAACCGCCACTCCCTCCGTCGCAATCAACCACCACCTCCACCGGCAAGCATCTCTAGCCCCTACTGCAAATCTGAATTAGAGAAGAGAGATCGACCCACTCAGCACCGTTTTATTGAATTAAAAGGATTCGTTCAACACTGTGTCGCCGAACATTCAAGATTCGTTCAGCATTGTGTTGTTGAACCCACTCCGCCATCGTGACCTCCCCGTCTATTGCGAGAGAGAGCGAGCAAGAGAGAGAGAGAGAGAGATGAAAATCTAAGGTTTTCAGAAGAAAATAAAGAAGAAAAGAGAGAAGAGGGAGAAGGAGAAGGGCAAGACATACGACCATGAAATCACTCGCCATAGCTTGTGATAGTGGTTTTAATGGTGGCCATTGTTGATGGGTGTTTCCTCTTGCTCTGTTTCTTACTCATACTCGATTGGACTGCAAGAAAACAAAGAAAGAACACAGAGTTGGGGTTTGGGCTTGGGTTTGGGGTTAGGGGTATAGTTGGTATTAAAGTGGGGGTTCAAAGAGAAAATGAAAGGTTTCATTTTGCTGAGTGGGGGGTTCAAAAAAATAGGTGGGTCAAAGTAATTAGGTGGGGGCAAATAGTAGCCCTCTTTATTTATACCTGTAAAATAGAAAAATCCAATATCTATCTATACCTATTTCACTATATGTAACTAATCTATGTCTCTATTTTTTTTCTCCGTTAGCCATCATCACTATCTGTAACTAATCAAACTATATTGAGGTGATGCTAATTTTTTAACAAAAATATAAAATAGATGAATCAATAGACAATATAGAAAGATTGGAAATGAAAGAATAGTGACTAAAGTGGAAGTTAGAATGGGCAAGATTCAGACACGAATTTATGAAATTTACATTATTATTTTACAGGTTTGAAACAAATTTCACACACGAATTTTATCCATTGTTATCTATTTCATGCTTTCTGTATTTTTATTTTTAACCTCTCTCATTTTCGTTTTACTCATAATGCATGATATTGTTTGCAAAAATATACACAAACAAATTCAATAAATAAAAAAAGAAAAAAAATACAACCATATTTCACGTGAAGAAAGCAAAGATATTTTAAAAAAATTAAAAACAAATCTACAATTTGTTATTTGAGTTTACAATTTTTTTGAATTTTTATATTTAAAAAAAAAATACACATAACAACTCAATTTATTTATTTTGAGGTTTTTAGTTTAAAGTTCCTGATATTAACATTTTATAAGATCAAAGACATGCAAAATTTTCATAATAGTTGAGGTCCCTTAACATTTCCACAAAGAAATTTTTAGTACAGTGAAATTTTGAGCATAGAGAACTTTCGATTCACAGACAAAATTCAAACAATTTTTTTGTGAAAAGAAATTTCACAGAGAAAAATCAGAGTGAATGAGAATTTTTTGCGTTATGATCATAGAAAAATTCAGAGAATTGTCACAGAAAAATTTCAAAAAATGAAGAATAGTGATAATGATAATAGCAAAAAATAGTAGATTTTTTTTGTGTGCTTAGTTTGGCTTTTTTATTTATTTTTTAGATTCTTCTACACAAGGGGGAAAAAATTGACATAATTTTGAGAGGAGCCTTTTCTTTTGTTTCTTGAATTTTTTTCCTTAGGCATTGGAAAGGTAGGCCTCTTCTAGGTTCCTCATCTCATGCTCATGTCACAAAAAAGTTATCATATTCCCTTCAAATGCTTCTTGACTTGATGCCTTTTTGTTCTTAAAAACCTCCACTTCTCTGCATTTCCTCCTCAGAGAGAGAGAGAGAGAGAGAGAGAGACAGAGGATTGTGAATTCTATGGCTTTCTAGCTATGTCCACCAATTGTTCACTGTACCACCATGAGAGCTAAGGTACAGACCCAAAGAGGGATGCGCCGTAGTGAGAGAGAGAGAGAGAGTTATCAGTGAGAGAGAAAGAAGAAGAAGAAAAGAAAAGGCCAAAAAAAAAAAAAAAACCCCCACCCTCCAAAACGACGTCGTTTTGGAGGGCGATAGGGACGCGCCGCAGGAAAGGGCGACGGTGGATCCAGATTCGTTTTAATGGTGGCCATTTTCCTGTTGGTTTATTTCTTACTCATACTTGATTGGACGGCAAAAAAACAAAGAAAACAAAAAAAGAAACAAGATTAGAGAGAGAAGTGGAAGGGATTAGGGTTTGGGCTTGGGTTTGGTTTTGGCATTACGGGTATAGTTCCTATTAAGGAAGGGGTTCAAAGAAAAAATAAAAGACTTCATTTTGTTGCGGGGGGTTTCAAAGAAATGTCAATGGGCCAAAATAATTAGGTGGGGCAAATGGATATTGAGATTTTTTTTTTGTTTTTAAAAGATGTGTATAGAGAATTTTTTTATATAATATTACTAGCGTATGCCTGAAGACACGGTATAAATAATGTTAGGATTAAAATATAATTATAATATCAATACTATTTAAATTTATTTTTTAATTTGATAAAATCACAAATTTATTATAAAATTTTAGAGTTCTCACAAAACTCCTCACGAAGACTCACTTTTGCTTATATAATATATAGTTAGATAGATAGATATGCCTAACATACATATAATTTTCACAGGCATACATACAATACTACTTTTGCTTATATAATTATATGAAAATTGTATGTATGTGTAAAACCCTAAAAATGCAAATTATAATTATCTGAATTATTCATGTGTTAATTGCGGATTATATGACTTAATTTGTGTATATTTGTCTAAATTGGGAAATTATTTGTTGAGAATACAACTTTAGAATTGAAATTGATGACATAAATGGGTTCAGAAATCAAAATCGACTACAAGGATATGTTAATTGGAATTTTTAGAGTTATTCAGGAAGTTTAATTAAAAACTGATTTCGTCTCATTCGCTAATTTTAATAGGTTGGAATTAAATAATTAAATAGGAATTAGAGCTTAATACACGTTAGTATGATTTAATTTAGTGTAATTGAGCTTATTAGATAATGAGGAATAATTTAATTTGAATGAATTTGGATTAAAGCAATTTATTAACCTCGTTAATTTAAGCCAAAGGTATGGAGAAAACAAAATTTATAATAAAATAACTAAATGAAGAATAGTAAGACTCCCACTTATTAATTGAATATGGAAGAGAGGGGGCTTTGGTGGCATCAGGAATATACACGTAGAGAGAGAGTGAACACTTGTGCAAGAGAAGGAGAGAGCTCAAGGAAGAAGCAAGGAAAGCTTAAGGAATTCCTGAAAGCCCATTTGATTCTAGGTAAGCAACCTTCTCTCTAATCTCATGAATTTGAAGAAATAGATTCATGAATTATGGGATTCAAGTTGAATCACAAAGAAAGTAGATTGATATGAAAGAGTTGTGAATATAGGTAGACCATTTATACATACACAGTTTCTATGAAAGAAAAAGCGTGAACTAACCCTTAATCCTACATGCATGGCATATATGATGAGTTTACACTTTAATTTCAAGAGAGCAATGATTCTAAACTTATTTTCAAACATGGTTCATGGAGTCCAGGGAGAGATTAAGTATGAATTAGAGCTTGGGTTCAAGAAAATAGATGTTTCATGAAATTGAGTTTCAAAAATGAAAAAATGGGTTTAATTTGATATTTAGAGCTTTATAAGAATTCAATTAAAAATTTGATTTCCGTTCATAAAATTAGATGTAGTCAAATTAAGCCTTAATTGAGATTAGGCTCAAGATATGGAAAGATTAATTATTTGGGCCTTAATTTGCTTGAAAATGGAGTTGAAATTGCAAAATGTGCATATTCATGAGTTTCTG